ATGCATGCTTCAAGATACTCATGTACCTGCTGTCTTCTGGGCTGAAGCAGTTACCTGGGCTACACATGTGCTCAACAGGAGCCCTACAAGTGCTAATCAAGGAAAGACTGCACAGGAGCTTTGGACTGGAAATCCTCCATCAGTTCAACATTTCAAGGTTTTTGGCTGTGTAGCCTATGTTCATACCCCTGATCAAAGAAGGAAAAAGTTGGACAGCAAGAGTTCACAGTGTTATTTTCTTGGAGTTTCAACTGAGTCTAAAGCATATAGGCTCTTTGATCCTGCTACAAAGAAGATTGTAGTGAGCAGGGATGTTGTGTTTGATGAAGCCAAGGGTTGGATGGAAGGCTCAGAAGAGGTAGAAAGCTCTAAGCTGGTTTGGGATGGAAGTGATGAGTTGTGGGACTCCTCAGAAACTAAGGAAGAGGTCACTGCAGACACTCAAGTTGCTGTCAATGAAGAACCTGGGAGTCCAAAAACACCAGCAATTGAGGAATCTGAGAATGAACCTGATGAAGATGGTTCTGGACCTGGTACTGATGTGTTGGGATTGCCTCCCAGGTCCAGGCATCCACCTTCTCATTTATCCATCTATGACTGTGGATTTGCAGATACTGACTGGAGATTGATGATGGCTATCACTGATGATCCTCAGACTTTTGAAGAAGCATATAAAGATCCAAGGTGGAGGAAGGCAATGGATCTGGAGTTTGATTCAATTGAAAGGAATCAAACCTGGGAGCTGGTTGACTTACCAGAAGGAGCAGTGGCCATTGGATGCAAGTGGGTCTATAAAACAAAACTGAAGGAGGATGCTTCTCTGGACAAAAGAAAGGCTAGATTAGTAGCCAAGGGATTTGCTCAAAAGGCTGGAATTGACTATACAGAGGTGTTTGCTCCTGTAGCCAGGTGGGACACAATCAGAACCATACTGTCCTTGGCTGCTTATCATGGTATGACAATGTATCAATTGGATGTTAAATCAGCTTTTCTTCATGGAGAGCTTACAGAGGATGTGTATCTGGAGCAACCTCAAGGCTTTGAAGTTGCTGGGGAGGAGCATAAGGTCTATAAGCTCAAGAAGGCCTTGTATGGCCTGAAGCAGGCTCCCAGAGCATGGTACAGCAGGATTGAAGGGTATCTGCAGAAGACTGGCTTTGAAAGGTGTCCTCATGAACATACATTGTTCATCAAGAAGGAGGAATCAGGTATTCTCATTGTATCAATCTATGTGGATGATGTGCTGTATACAAGCAACTATGAAGAGATGATTGCTGGATAAGAGGACCATGGAATCTGAGTTTGAGATGACAGATTTAGGAAGAATGAGATACTTCCTGGGGATTGAAGTAGTGCAATCAGACAAAGGCATTTTCATTTGCCAACAGAAGTATATCAAGGAAGTTCTGGAAAGGTTCAAACTGGCTGATTGCAACTTTGTTAGCAATCCAATTGCACCTGGAGTTAAGTTGGCTAAAGCTGGGGATGGAGTTTCAGTAAATCCCACAGAGTATAAACAACTCATTGGAAGTCTACTTTATGTCACTGCAACTAGGCCTGAGGTGATGTATTCTGTCTGTCTTCTAAGTAGATTCATGGAATCTCCTACTAGACAGCATCAGTTGGCTGCTAAGAGGGTGCTGCGATATCTAAAAGGGACTACAAAGTCTGGAATTTGGTACAAAAGATTGGGAGGAGAAAGCAGATTGCTAGGATACACTGATAGTGATTATGCTGGAGATGTTGATGACAAAAGAAGCACCAGTGGTTATGTATTCTTTCTTGCAGGTGGAGCAATCTCCTGGGCTTCTAAGAAGCAACCAGTAGTCACACTCTCTACTATAGAAGCTGAGTTTATTGCTGCAGCATATTGCGTGGCTCACTGTGTGTGGCTGAAGAGGATTCTGGAAAGTTTGGGTTGGAACTCGAGTTCAGAAGGCTGCACAACCATTCTCTGTGACAACAGCTCAGCAATTAAATTGTCCAAGAACCCAGTGCTGCATGGAAGAAGCAAGCACATTGATGTTAGGTACCACTTCATCAGGGATCTGGCTAAGGAAGGGGTCATCGAGCTGGAGCATTGCAGTACATATGAACAAGTAGCTGATATCATGACCAAGCCACTGAAGCTAGAGAGTTTTCAGCTTTTGAGAAGTAAGTTGGGAGTGTGTGATCTGGCAGAGTTCACAGGTGAAGAAGTGAACTAAAGCTTGGTTCCAAACCGGCTTCAGTTCAGGGGAGGATTATGTTGAAGTTGAAGAACAGCAGCAGCTTGAAAGAGTCCGAATCCTTTCTGGAGAAGGATTCCTTATGGTGCCAAGTTCAAATGTCAGGGTCAAATAAAAGAAACGCTGTCGTTTCAGTTAGTGAGTCAGTCGAATGGTTTTTTTATCTGTTTCAGTCCTTATTTGTGTAGTTAGTTCAGTCGAGTCCTGTTAGTGGTTAGTCTTGTTAGAGAGTTTATAGTTGTTAGTTGAGTGATGGTTGCTGATTTGTAGGAACCATAAGTCAGAGAGTGGGGGTCGTGCAAGGTCATGTTGAGACTGGAGCACAAGGGTTTATATTCTCGTTATTCATCAATTAATAAGATTGTCAAATTGCAAACTATTGAGTTCTCTCCCTTGCTAGGAGTCGGAGAGTTCGGTTTATGTCCTCGTCAAGTGGTAGCAAGGGCGCCGGGTTGCTCTGGGTCATGCACCTCCTACACACAATCGGAAAACACCAAGTCTAGCACTAGCAAAGAACACACACACTTGCAAAACTTGAAATTAAAATCTAGATTAACAACCAACAACTTTTTCAGAATAACAGACCGTTGTCCCCGACAACGGCGCCAAAAACTTGACTCACACGAAACTATACCACAATTAAATCCCAATTAGAGCCCAAGTTTTTAAACTCTAAACGGGTGCAGTATAGGGCCAGTATCTATATATCAAATCGGTCTGGTCCGTATACCCCTACTTCGGTTGTCGAAATCATTATCTAGCGATGAAACTTTGGTTTAAAGGTTTGCCAATTGAAATGAAAGAAAGCAAAAGTAATTTGGTTTGAAAACTCTTTTGTGTGAAAGTCACTTCGGTTTTGATTCCCCCTTAACCGCTACCATGCTACGTGGGTTGGAACGATTGTCTTGGGCACGTTAATCGTGAACCACAGAGGAAAGCGTATGTGGTCGGAGACCACAGTCTCGATTGCTAAACCGAGGCGAGGATGAAAGGTCGTGTCACTCGACCCTCTCGGTTTAGACAATCGGTAATCGGCTGACTTCCTCACTCAACTCTAAGGTCGGACGGTTTAACCACGATTAATCGACTTGTTCAATTCAATATTGAGGATTGCCCTAAGTCAACCTAGTTTAGGTGGATTGGAAAGCGGAAGGAAAACCAACTCGATTGAGTCTCCCTTACAAAGGGGGATTTTCCTCTCTGAATTAGGCTAAGTTGGCAAATTAGATTACTAGCACCTAAATGCACAAACTTAGGGGGTGCTAAGTACGATTATGCACAATCCCTACGATGCTAATCACAACATAAGCACAACCCCTAAGTTGCTAAGCACAAGCATGCAAAATCATGGTGAAAAATACCTCAAACATTAAATTGAACAATACCTAATATCAATCATCCAAACCACATACAAGAAAACTACATGGTAGGGTTTAGGGTTTCACTACACCCAAATGAAAGGAGGACTACTCCATGGAAGAAGTGGGAAGAACAAAGGGGAAAAGGTTGGAACCATCTTTTGGGGATGCCTCCTCTCTTCTTCAACCTTGAGCTGGGATTTCCTCGGGGAAATCTTCCCAAAACCTCCTTTGAAGCTAAGCCCTAACCTCTTCTTCTCTTTGGTTCTGTTTCTCTCACTAAAATGCAGAAGAAGGTGTTTCTCTCACAAATGTGGCTCTCCCCTCTCTCTTCCTTGCATCTCAACTTTTAAACCCGAGAAGAGGTGAGTTCATGGCCGTGAACCATCAACGCGTCCGTGAACTCACGCCTTGCGCCAAAACGCTCTGCATCGATCACGACAGTTCACGGGCAACTGCTTGTGTTCAGGTTCTTACCTCTGGACGCCTTGCGCTTCACGGTCTTGCACGATTGTGAACTCCTGCCTTTAGCCATGAACTTGCGCTTTTTCACCTCTTCTCGCGGTTTTTATCCTTTTCTCCAATCCTTCGACTCCAAGGCTAGTTCCAACTGTTAAATCCGGAAAAGCACTCAAACACGAAGAACCTCGCGTAAAACCAACCTTTAATGAGCGAATTTGGCACAAACATCTAAGCAAACCGGGGGAAAAATATGTGCAATTAGGCTCGAATCAGCTTGGTACTTCAAATGCTAAACCGGGGGCACCCTTATTGTAAGTCCCACGACATTTTTTTGTCTTTTCCTTTTCGCTTTTTTGCTTCTTTTTTTTGTGTGTGGGACTTACTTGGCCGTTCAAACTCCGACTCGGGGGTGAAGTCTTGGCAACCCTTTGTCAATAGGTCAAGAGAGCTACTTTGGTGGCTTGAATCGAATTCCCTTGACCTAGAGACCGAGAGAGTAGCGTTTGGCTACTTGTTGGACTTCCCTACGGTTCACAACAACCTTACCACATGATACCATTTGATTCGACAAGTCATAATTTCTAGCTAAGGGGAGCAACATTCGGGTGTAGCCTTCTCAATTAGTGTAAAATCCATTTACTTTTCCAAACGTTTTAGTTATAGATCGTTGTTTTCACCAAAAAATCATTCACTAGATTATGTTAGAAATAATCGAAGTAGGGGTACATGAATCGACCCGGGTTGACATTTAAACATACTTGCCCTGTATTGCAGCCAATTGAGGTTTATACTTGGGCCTTAATTGGGAGTTTTATTGTGATATTCGGCGACAGGTGACGGCGGCATGCTGCTGGCTATCGACATCGAGGTGAGGGGGACCTGGGGGATCAAGTACAACATATTCTACGTCAACTTCTCCGTCGGTGACCCTCTGGGACCTCAGCTAGCTTTGATGGACAACGACAGTGACTTGTTGTGGATGAAATGCCCACCTTGCAGTCCTTGCTCCACCAGTTATGGAGCCACCTACTTTTACTCCTTCAATTCCAAGACTTACTCTCCGTTCCCTTGTACCGATGATTGCGAAACATTTACAAGTATGAATGATTGATTCGGGCCTAATTGCACATTTTATCCCCGTTTCTCTTGGGCATTTGTAGCATTTGAACTCCTAAAAGGGTGGTTTTATGCTAGGGTTTTGTGCGTTTAAGTATGTTTCAGGATCCAATAGGTGAAACCAGCTCCGAAGTAGAAAGTTGGACGGAAAGAGGCAAAGACCGGGCAAAGAGGGTCATTCAGGCCAGGTTCACGGCTTCCCATTGAAGTTCACGGTTTCCTATGGCCATGAACCGAAGCCCAAAACCATAAACTGCGAAGCGTCATGGAGAATTCTGAAGTTACTGACGCAAGGAGAGTTCATGGTCAACAAGACCGTGAACTTTGAGAGCAAACTGTGAACTCATGTGAGTGAAGAGGTGCGTTTCGACACAACGCTTTGAGTTCACGGACGCGTTGAAGAGTTCACGGCCGTGAACTGAGGCCGTGAACTAAGCCTGATCCCAGTGCAAAATGTGAGTTGAAAGGAAGAGAGAGAGAGGGCCCAAGAGTGAGAAGGTTTCTTTTCCTTCAGATTTTGGAGAGAGAAAGGACGAACCAAGGAAGGAAGAAGGCTAGGGTTTGCTCTAAGTGGTGAATTGGGGAGAATCTCCCCAAGAGAAGATCAACACAAGCTCAAAGGAGATTGGAGGCATCACCATGATGGTTTCTACTTCTTTCTCTTGTGTTCTTCCCCTTTCTAGCATGGAGTTGTAACATCCTCTCATTTTCTAGTTTATGAATGCATACATTTCGTGCATGGGAGTTCAAATGTGGGTAATACGTTAAAATAAATGTAGTATCTATTAGCGTTAGCGTTATCCATCTAAACTAGAAATATCCCCATTACAAGAATTTAGAATTGTTAGCCGTGGTGTGCATTTTATTAACTCAAACATGATCATGGAAATCCAATCCCAATAGACAAAACTTTCTTTTGCCATATACCACCACCCTTATTTGTTTATTCATTGACTTCCTAAAGAAATAGATGAGAAATACACTCCCATGAACCGAGAGAGGGGACACAATTATTTTCCTTGTCCTTTTCTATTAAATTCTACTGGGAAGGCCTCAATTTCCAACCCATTTGTGTTTCCCAAACCTGGCGCATGTCTGGGAGGTGGCTGGGCTAGATTCATTGTAGGAAATGAATGTGTGGTGGGAGCAGTAGATATAGGATAACCATTCTTCTTAAGTGGTTCTTTGTCTTTGAAAGTGCTGGAGGGAGAGAGAAACTCATGATATATTTCCTCCTCTCCACCATCACCCTAGCTCTATTACGAGAAACCACCATCATAGTAGACACGAGAGTTGAAGCTAGATTTCAAGCAACGGAGTTGATTTGAGAGAACACTGAGGACATAATTAAGGTAAGCTCTTCTTTGCCTTAGTAATGTATCTAATAAACTTAGAGAGGAGAAGTAATTGGTTGGCGAGTGACGATGATAGCAGGGGTGCAGCTTTTGGGTCTTTGTCAAGTCCTGTTATGGTGGTGGTGATAATTAGTATCGGATGGAAGGCTTTGGTCCAGGATCAATCAAATGGCTTAAATATATATGTATAAAATTGTTCCTTAATGATATGATGGAAAGATAGTGTTTGAGTAGTTAGGGAAATAATTAATTTATTTCCTGGGCACATTACATATTAAGTCTAAAATATGGTTAGTGATTGCTGTTGGGGATCTAATTAAGTTCTCAAGGAGCTTGCATGCATGCCATATCTCATTTTGTCAAGTTATGTGCATGTATGGATTTGAGGGGAGGTTTCTGTCATTGGGTTCTAGAATGCATGATAGGGGTGTATATGAGTATTAGTACTCTCCTAATGAGAAGGGTTTAAGAGAGAGAGAGAGAGGGAGAGAGTTGAACAATTAAGTTAGCAATGACTACAAGTGCTCATGGGTACGCGATGGATAATTAATATTAATTATGCATGCATGGCACATCTAAAAAGGTGGGTTATGGGATTAGTGCGTTAGGATACTTTGTATATATATGTGTAGCTAGGTTATGCTGGTGTCAAGCTATGACCGTGAGAACAAGAATAGTTACAGGGCATTATATAATATTATTATTATTATTATTTATGTGATTAGTAATTAATTGGTTGACTAATTATTAAACCTTTTGGTATGGTATTAAATGGGGTTATGTAACTTCTTAAAGGAAAGGAGAAAGCTGGTGAATCATCGAAAGGCAAGGGAATAGCATAGTAACGACAAAACTGTGAGTAAACTCTAACCTATTAACCGTATGGATACAAATATGGTATTCGGGTCATGAAGCGGCCTGAATATAAAATATGAAATGTGGAATTAATCGATGGCGATGACTATATGTGTGTGAATGAAATGATATGTGATAAATGATGGGTGGATGTGATGTTCGTATGACTATTTGATGATATGTGTGATGTGTATGTGATATGAAATTGCCTAAAAGGGATATATTACAATACAGAGAAGACTATGAGGCAGTGATGGAATAATGAATGGCCTGAATGACTATACGAGGATACTGGGATAGCCTAATTGGCTATCGTGTGATTACTGGGAAGCCTATAAGGCGGAAATGTGAGATTGAAGCCTATAAGGTGACGATGTGATTATAAAAATGGTGAATGTGACTATGTGAATGTTATGAATATGTGAATAGACACGTGTGAAATGATTGATGATACTGTTTGGTACTTGTTATGTGACTAACTAAAGAATTGTCTGATCACCTAAATCAAACTTAATGGCGCCATGTCATGCACTCTATGAGATATGATACTGAATGCGGCTTTATGCCTAGCTCTCTGGGAGAGCGATACCAGGCCTGGTCATTGGCGATGCTTAATGCATCTATTGGCGGTGCTTTATGCATCTATTGGCGGTGCTTAATGCATCTATTGGCGGTGCTTTATGCATCTATTGGCGGTGCTTTATGCATCTACTGGATATACCCGGGGGAGTGCATGACTTGGCAACTTAAAGGCTAAAAGGCACAGAATCTAGCTAACCCTGTGTGTGTGTGTGTGTGTGTGTGTGTGTGTGTATGGATGGGTGTACTAGTGTGTGTGTGTGATATTGACTACTGAATTGTGCATGGTTACATGTCTGAAATGCCTTAGCAAAGTGGATACTGAAACTGGTTATCTCGGGAAACTAAGATATTAAGCACGGGGCTCGACTTCGCCAGATATTATGTTTGTATTGATATTGTTGATAGGTTAGCTTTTACTCATTGAGGTGACGTCTCACCCCCGTCAAAATTTTTCCCCCAGATTAGAAGTATTGGACTAGAAGTCAAGGAAACTCAATAAGGCTCAGCTCAGCATCAATGAGGTGGGATGGTGGACTCATACTCCGACATGACTTGTTTATAGTGTTTTGAGAGAAGATGGTTTTCTCTACCGTCATGTGTTTTGAAGTATTAAAAGTTTATGTAAATTATGGTTTGGTTTGTGAACGAAACAGAACTGTAAAAGATTTTAATCCGTACGATCTTGTGAATGTTTTAAATTATGTATGGGTGTTACAGGAGTAGTACTCTTTTTCACTTGGGTGTTGTGAAACCCTAACTATTTGCCATGTAGTTGTAGTGTGACTTGAATGATTGTTTATGGTTGTTGTTTAATTTAATGATTGAGGTATTTTTCATGATGATTGTGCATGTGTGTGCTTAGCAATCTAATTGGCCATTTTAACCTAGGTTATAGGGGAAACCCCCTTTCCAAAAAAGGCTCAATTGAGTTGGGATTCCTTGGGCTTTACAAGCCACCTACCTAGGTTAATGTTGGGCAAACCTCTATCTTGAATTAATCAACTAGGTTAATTATGATTAAGCCGTCCAACCATCATTTTGAGGGAGAAGGTTAGTCAACCCTTAATTGCCTTAACCAAGAGGGCTACTCTTGTAGCCTATAATGTATCCCTTGGTTTGGCAATTGAGAGTGTGGTCTTCGACCATAGTTGCACCTCCTAGAGGTTCATGATTGCCTTGCCCATAACGTCCCATTCGAGTCAACGTGCCATAGTAGTAGTTAGGGGGAAACGACACCCGAGTGATCCTTCTCATCTAGAGCTTTCAAACCATTTACCTTTGCTTTGTTTCGATTTAAATCTCATAGTTTTCAATCAAAAACCAATCCGCTATATAATATTTCAAACAATGGAAGTAGGGGTACATGGACCGGCCCGGAATGATATTTAAACATACTTGCCCTATATTTCACCCATCTAAGGTTTATACTTGGGCCTTAGATGGGAATTTGTTGTGATATTCAGGATGAGTCAATGATTCGGACCAAATTGCACACATTCCCCCCCTCCCCCGTTTTCCTTGGACGTTTGTGGCATTTAAACTCCTAAAAGGGTGGTTTTACACTAGGTTTTGTATGTTTCAGTGTTTTCAGGATCCAACAGGTAAAACCAGCCCCGAAGTCGAAAGTTGGAAAAAAAGGAGCAAAGACCTGGCAAAGAAGGTGATTCAGGCCAGGTTCACGGTTTCCCATTGGAGTTCATGGTGTCCCATAGCTGTGAACTGAAGCCATAAACCGTAAACTGCGAAGTGTCCATGGCAAATTCTGAAGTTACTAACACAAGTTGAGTTCACGGTTAACAATACCGTGAACTTTGAGTGCAAACCGTGAACTCATGTGAGTGAAGGGGTGCATTTCAGCACAGCGCTCCGAGTTCACGGATGCGTTGAAGAGTTCATGGCCGTGAACTAAGGGCGCCAATTGAGCCCAATCCCAGTATAAAACGTGAGCTGAAAGGAAGAGAGAGGGAGAGTCCAAGAGTGAGAAAGAACCTTCTTCTTCAGATTTTAGAGAGAGAAAGGACGAATCAAAGGAGAAAGGAGGCTAGGGTTTGCTCCAAGTGGTGAATTCGGAAGAATCTCCTCAAGAGAAGATCAACACAAGATCAAAGGAGAGTGGAGGCATCACCATGATAGTTTCTACTTTTTTCTTTTGTGTTCTTCCCCTTTCTAGCATGGATTAGTTACCTTTGTCACTTGGGTATTG